GGGAAGGGGATAGAGGACAAAGTCATCCAGCCTTTTGTGCTTCAGGGGATAAAATTCTATTCAGATCTTTTACAAAGCAGAACTTTTGATTTTGCTCCTATTCTATTATCTAGCTTGCCTCAAAGACTATTTTATGTGCTGTGATGACTTTCGATGGGATGCAGTTGTAAGCAGCTTTTTTAAATGTTTTTTTTTTCAAATAAATGACTTTGAAGTCTATTTTGTAAGCTTTGGTGGGCCTTTATTTAGGTACTATTATTATTATTAATAATAATTATTATTTTTATTAATTTATTTATTTTACAATAGCTGTGTGCTACTGGACAATCTTTAATTTAGATGTAAACCATACCAAAATCAGGATTCTGTTTGGTATCTAATTGGGTATCACTGCCAATTAACAGGCATTAAAAAAATCCTTCCTGTGGGTCCTGAATGATACATCTATAACAAACTATTTACAGCAGAAAAACTCTTAGAAATTGAATTTATTGCAGTCTCTGCCAGCCCACATGTGATCAAACAGCACAAATAAATAAATACACTTGCACTTTGGCAATAATTGTATTTTCTGGCATGATTTACAGTGGTGCCCCAGCTTTTGTGATGTGCAATATTTAGAGGAAAACACAAATTACTGCAAAGGTTTTCAATGTCTCTAAGAGCAGCATCTGTACAAATATTTGCCAAAGTAGATTTACAGGAGGGAAAAAAACAAAAAAGACATTTTCTTCAATGTTTAAACTTGCTGGTAGGTTAATCTGGAAACATTAAATTTAGACAAATACACCTGAATACACTGTGAAGTAAAACTGTTAACTGTCAAAAATGAGGAGAAAAATAAAGTCAGTGCTTGAAGCTCCTTGATGGAGAATGAAAAAATCAGCATTAAAAAAATTAGCATTTTAATTTATCACATGAGGATCCTCGTACAGAGTTATTTATTTATGCAAGATTGGAGTGGTTTGGAGGCACTGAATGAAGCCGGTTTCTCACAGATTTTACCATCAGTGCTTTTTACTTGAAAAAGCACAAATTCTGGTGAAAGCTTTCCCTAAATTAGGGCTTTGATAAGGCATAAAGTAAATAAATATTCAGGCTATTCACACTGTGTAAAGCCAAGTCCAGGGAGGAGAAGTCATATAAATAACCCTGAAAATTTCAAGTTTTGCAACAAATTTCCCTTTAAAAATCATACTTTATTTCCCTGACACATTTTTGCACCCAGGATTTTTTACTAATAATAATTATTTTAATAATAATATAATAATATATGATAATAATTTTAATAATATATTTTTACTAAGATAATAGTATTTTTTACTATATAATAAATAATTTTTCATTACTTACCTGGTAGTGCTGGTATTCATGCACAGAACCTGATTTTGACACAGGATCTTATGAGGGAGGAATCTGCATAAATTTAGGAACAAATGGGATGTTTCCAGGTTTTATTGAATACATTGAAATAATTAATTTACCTTAAATTATATGAGAGAACATTAAGAGAAAAACTTTAATATGATGGACTCACTGATATTTTTAAGTCAAATCTGTGTTTCAAGTAATCCAAATTAATCTGGAAAAGGAAATTTCCAATTGTCCTTCAAAGCCAGGGAAGATGACTGGGAAGCCAAAACCACAATGTCCCTGTGGGGATTTTTGAAGGAATTCTAAATAAGTTAGAGATGGGACTATTGAGGTTTGTAGATTATGTTGTTTATTTTTCTTTATTTTTTTATAGAGGTAGGAAGGGTGAGTTTGGTTTATATTGTTATAGTATGGTTTAGAAGGTTGTTAGACTCTTAGTTATAAGACTTTTAAAAGAATTATTGACTAATAACACAGTTAACTAGGTTATTTATGGTTTTGACTTAATTTTTAAGTATTTTGGTTTATGGATTCATGTCACAGTGTAACTTTTTTTAGTTATGTTATGACACACAAATATAGTACTGCATTTTAATATTTTTGTTTACTTTTGTAGCTACTTTTATTTTTCCTATATCTTAAACTCTAAAACTCTAAACTCTTTTACTTGGTTTAACATGTCTCTGCTTTAAACTATAAATCCACATTCTCCCTTCTAGCACCTGGGTTTGGAAGCCTTTTCCAAGCACTAACATCAAATCCTGTGTTTAATCCTAAGCTTTGGTTTCCAGGCCCAGAGTTCTGAGAGTTCCCTGCATTTCAGATTCCAACAGTCCCACTGAAATATGTTTAAATATAGGTTTAAATATTAAATATGTTTAAATATAGGTTTAAAACACAAATTAAAACTTTGCACCGTGTTCTAGGTCTGCGTGACAGACTTGCCAGTTCCAAAAGATGACAAAACCACCCCCAAGGATGGCGGAATCCAACTCCTGGCCCCAACAATCCCACCCTGTGCCTGATCTGGGAATGAAATCCTCAACCCAGGAAATGTTGCCATCAACTTCAGCAGATCACTTTTAACCCCAAAGGTTAAAATCCTCCAAGGGGGATTTTGCATCTCCCATCCAATCCTTTTGCACAGCCGAGTTAGAAATTCGTACATTTTATTTGGACTGGGTGAGATTCCCTATGATTCAGCAAATTTAGTCAACCTCTATGGAATTCCAGAGTTCCATAATTTCCATGAAATTAACTCAACTTCTATGAAATTCCAGAGTTCCATAATTTCGATGAAATTAACTCAACCTCTGTGAAATTCCAGAGTTCCATAATTTCCATGAAATTACCTCAACCTCTATGAAATTCCAGAGTTCCATAATTTCGATGAAATTAACTCAACCTCTGTGAAATTCCAGATTTCCATAATTTCCATGCACACTTCCAAACGAGGTTGGAAGCAACTCCATGGGCTGCTTCCTCGCAAACAGCCTCTGCTCCATCCCCAGGCTGCCACATGAATCATAAAATCATGGAATGGTTTGGGTTGGACAGGACCTGAAAGCTCATCCAGATCCACCTTCCACCATCCCAGGTTGCTCCAAGCCCCAATGTCCAACCTGGCTTTGGGCACTACCTGGATCCAGGGGCCTCCCCACTCTCCCAGCCAAAAATTCCTTCCCAATATCCCAACTTTTTCTGGCACTCCATGCTCTCATAAACATTCCCTCTCTATCTTTTCCATACTTTTCCTTCAGGTTTTGGAAGGACAAATTTCTATAAAAACCCCAACTAGAAAATCCCACACTCGGTAATTCCTCCTCAAGCTCTTCCCACCTGGGAGAGTTTTCCTTGCTTTTTGTCCACCCAGCTGGTGACAAGTCCCAGCCTGGATCTTCTTTTCCATGTTTATGGATATTTGGAGTTCAGGAAAATTCAGGAAAATGCTGGAGCTGTTTCTCATGCAATAGAAACAGGTGAAAAGGATTCTTTGCACAAAGAACTTCCTTGGCAAGGTGTCAACTCGATAATGACTGAGTAATTCTCCTCATCTGTGCAAAGCAGCACAGAAAATGGATAAAAAGTCATTATAGAAGGAAGCTCTCACCAAAAGATCTAAATTACATCCTAATCCTTTAATTCCTCAGATGAAGAACACTCCCCGGGAAGTTCAGTGGCCCGGAAAATTCTCAATTCAACAATTTCTGCATCAGGCAAAAACAGAGCTTGACATTTGTGCAGAGCAAACACCTCTCTGATCTGCCTTACTTTATACTGTTTAAATATCCTATTAAAATAAATACATTTAATGGACAGTTTACAATTAAAGTGTATTTTTTTAATAAAAGTTGTGTTTCTAAAAACAGAGCCAGATAAGGAACCAGAAGGTCTTTATGGTACACCTTTTTTGTAATGTTTAAAAGTAAAAAAAGGAAAAAAACCTTAAAAGGAAAAAAACAACTGCATCACCATCAGCATACAGAAATACCCATGTTTGCTGCGTCATCAACAATTACAATTACCACTATTTATTTAAATTAACCAACAATTAATTATTAACTAATAAATATTTGAGATTCTTCTGTTTTCTGAGACCAACCAAGGCACCTGCCTGTCCTCACACAGTTACCTCCCAGTGGTCACACAAGCTGCATGAAAGTACATCACCCAATCACACAAAATATTTTATCAACCCCGCTGGAATAATTAAAAAAATTAACAGCTTTTACATGCAATGGCAAATTAGAACCAGATTCGTTAAGTTTGGAAAAGATCATCAAATCCAACCAACCAGTTCCCCACTAACCCATGTGCCACACTTTTTTTGAACACTTCCAAGGACGGGGGTTCCACCACTGCCCCAGGTATTTTTCCAACACTTTAAAACCCTTTCTAGGAAGAAATTATAATTTCCAAACCTTCCCTGGCACAGTTTGCCATTTCCTCTCATCCTGTCAATGTTAAATAATGCCCAGGAAGGACATGCAGAAAAGTTCTTCCCAACAACCATAGAAAAGAAAAAATTCCTAAAATTACCTACCCTGAAGAGGCATCTCCCAAATGGGAGGTGTGGAATGGACCAGGGGAAACACAAAAGAGTCCAACAGGAATCAGCTTCACGAAATCCTGTTTGATTTGACATCAGCACGGAACCCCTGAGCAGTTACTTCTGCTTTACACAAACCTCCCCCCGTTGTTACAACAGCAGGGACTTCTGGGTTAATTTTAACTCTAAGTCCAATGCAACACTTGTCAAAATGAATTAAGAAATTGCTGTTAATTACAATGAACTTTCAATTCATGATTGGTGACACAGCTGGAAGTTTAGATCCTATTTTTATCTTGGTATCACACCACAGTTTACCACAGGATTATTTTACTATATTTACTTAATTCTACTGTATTTATTTCATCAGATCTTACTTATCCAGAAAGTTTGGGACGACCTGGATTCCAACTGCTTCCGTGAGTTTCCACACCCTTTATATTTAATGTTCAGTCTCAAAATAAATCAGAATTTTACTCCCAAACAGCTGCAGATTAGCACTGAAAAATTACTTACCTAGATAATGGATTTCAACTCTTTTAGAATGCTTAATTCAAATGAACACACAACACAGGAATGAAATTAAAAGATTTAAAGGAAATAAAGCAGGTGGAGAATAAAAAGGAAGCTTTGTTCTTGCATCAGAATGTATTAGATCTTGCAATTTGCATATACAAATAATTCAGCCACATTCACTGGCATTAAAAACACAGCAAGATCAAATTAGAAACATAAGAAAAGAAAATAATAAGAGATGAAACTGTATAATACATACATATATTATAAAGATTTGACAAATTAAATACATTTTGGTTATACAGAAAAGTTCCAGTAACTTTACATGAAAAATGGAACCCAAACATTTCAAACGACTGAACACAAGGTGGGCAGGCTCATTTTAAAAGTTTAAAAAATACATAAAAATAGCCTAAAAAACACTGCTAATTACAGTATGCATTCTTCATTAAGGCCCAAGTCAGCCAAGCACTTTTAAGGGATTTTGGGACAGGGGGTCCATGGCACTCATGGACTGTGGGATGAGGACGCTGGGAAGCGAACGCCTCAACGCTGAGCTGAGCTGGGACCTTCTGAACACATGAACAGTCCAAGTCACACAGTGACCAAAACCACAGGTAGACTGGAAGGACACTTCCAATCCAACTATTTGGCCTCTTAAAGGAATTCCATGCAACAGATGGAGATTGAAAGGAACATTCCAATCCACCAAGACCTTCCCCAGAGCTCCAGCCATGGAGCACACACGGTGACTGCCAAGAGAGCTCTTCAAATTCCACAAGAACCTACAGCCGGGAGTTCTGAATTGTATTTTGGGCATTTCTCTTCCCTCCCTCCGTATCTCAATCTGGTTATCAACTAAAATCTGAGTACCCACCGAGGAGCTGGCGTTCCAGCTGAACTCCATCCTGCTCCTGGTTGGAAGGAGGCCTTTAGGGAACCCCGTGGGCAGCTGGAGCTGTGCTGCAGCTCCTGGGGGGCTGTGGGACCCCCACACCCTCACACCCCACCACTGCTGCACCGAGATCGACCTCGTGGCCAACTCAACCCGAGGTTTTACCTCAGGGCCCCAAAATCTGCCCAACACACAAATTCTTTTTGTTCAAATGCTGGCTGAAGGGTCAGAAAGATCCTGACATCAGGCTCATAAAATGTGAATTTCTTTCTTTTCCAACCTTTTGGTGTCTCCCTGCACTGAGACTGACTTCAGGAGACAGCCCCAGTTTTTACCACAGGGACCCACAAATTCTGCCCAACAGAAAAATTATTATTATTATTATAATGCCCCCTAAATGGTTGGAAAGACCCTGACATCAGGATCATACAATTGGAATTCCTTTACATCATTTTACAATTGTTCAGTCTCCCTGCACTGAGATTGACTTACCTCAGGGACCCACAAAATCTGCCTAACAGACAAACTATTATTATTATTCAAATGATGGCTAAATGATTGGAAAGACCCTGACATCAGGATCAAAAAATGGGAATTATTTTGCATTATTTTCCAACCTTTTGGAGTCTCCCTGCACTGAGACTGACTTCATGGACAACTCACTCCAAGTTTTTACATCAGGAACTCATAATTCTGACAGATTATTATATCACAAATGTGGGCCAAATGGTCTGAAAGAACCCCACTGTATCATTTCCATGGCTGAATTTATTCAACTCTTTGCATTTGGATGGAATTTCAGGAACATGCCCTTCCTCAGCTCCACTTTCAGTACCCAACCCTGTGGCTTGAGAGTTTCTTCTCATAGAGACTCACAGCGAGGTTTAGTCTTTAAACAATCTCATTTTTTAAGTGCATCATTTACTGTACAAATAAATACAGGAGTGCAGCAATGGGAAGACAAGAACAGCCAGTGGCACTCTGGGGGTTGGGGCTCAGGAATTCCCACCCCAAACATTTTCCAGCCAGGCTGGAATGGAAGGAGACCAAGGGGCACCTTCCCATCCCCTGGCATTGCTCCAAGGTGCAATGAGATTCTACAGGAACGGGATAAAATAGTGCAAGAACAGCAGGGAAAAGCTCATTTTAAGCTGCTTGTTTGAAATAAGGCTTTGGTGCTGCATGGCCAAAGCCTGGCTGGATGAGACAGAAATGTTGCATATTTGTTATTTAATTAATTACAGATTCACCCCTTTGTGCTCATTCAGTCAGAGATGCTTTTGGAAGAGTGGGAAAGATAAATTTGGTAATTATTCAACATTCAGGTGCCCTCCGATTTTGGGGATTTCCCTGCCCCTGATCAGGGCTGTAATAAAAACTTTTAGATTTTCTGTCACCAATTCTATTCTCAGTAGTACTTTCAAAAAAATATATCTCTGTACACAACCCTAAACCCCTTAAAGTCCTTTTTTGATAACATTTCTGGGAAGGTAAGGACCTGGAGGAACTTTTGCTACAATACTCAATGTTTCAGGCATTAAACTGTTCATAAATTTTTTTTTCCAATATTTACCTCTTAATTATCCTGCTGAGTCAAATCAAGGAATAAGAGTTCATCTCTTATTTTAAAGAAGTGGGAAATTATGCAGGTCTTTATAGAGAAGAGATGCTTTAACTCCATTTCTGGCCTTTCTCTTCAAGTAGACAAGTTCAGGTGCTGCAAAATATACTTTTCAAATATGCAAAATATTCTAAAAATCACATTATTGCCTTTCTACGTCAACCCAAATAATATTTGGAAAAAAACCAAATGAACAGGGCTTTGAAAGTTCTGTTAAATCAAAAATTCAAATCCGTATTCCTACTGATTTTTTCCTGTGAACAGTATGACTCAAAATCCAACAAAACCTGGAGGCTCTTTAAAACAGCCTGGGAAAATAAATACCTATTTTCATGGTGAACATATTCCCCTGGTGAACAAAACATGTTCAAACAAATTAATTTTTTGTTATTTAGAATAAAGATTTCTATCCCATCTTACAGTGCTATACAGTATAGGAACATTATACTTTGCTTTAGAAGATATTTATATTTAAGAAACAACTTTATACAGCAAATGCAACTTTTAGAGCCAGCACAACAACGTATTTACAGTTCAGTCAACAACCCAAGTGACACTGAATAAATTAACATAATATACAACTATTTATACAGACAAATTAAAAAATAAGGCAGAAATCTCATTTGAAATTAGCATAATCTGAAAAGATGTCGATGAAATCTTGTACCACTCTGTAGCAGAATTCATACTGTTCCTGGAAAACAAGAAAAAAAGATCAAAATGTGCTTTTGGTTACACCAAGAAAATCTGAATTCTGCAAATCCCAGTTGTAAATTCAGCATGTCCTAACTGGGAGCAGTAGCTGAGGACTGGCCTGCTCTGGTTTCTGGTTGTTATTTTAAATAAAACCAATGGTTCCTCTTTCTTTGGTCAGACACAGGCTGATCCTTGCTCTTTGGTTAAAAATGATTGCTTGAGCTTTTGCAGAGGTGCTTCTTAAACTGAATCAGTTTTAGGCCTGGCTTTGGATTTAAACCCAGCTGCTGACAGCAGAAACTCCTGAGCAGTGCCCAGGGATAATCAGAAATAAGAATCAGAAAATCCCAGGATGGTTTGGGTTGGAAAGGAGCTTAAATCCCACCCAGTGCCACCCCAGCCATGGCAGGGACACCTCCCACTGTCCCAGGTGCTCCAAGCCCCAGTGTCTGGGGAAGGATTTATTTAGCAAATAACATAAAACATGAAAATCATGCTTGTTCTAGAGCCTAAGAATTTATTTCAATTCTGTTATTCTCATTCTGGATAGCTGCCCGACAGAACCAGTGAGGGATGTGGGAAAACCCAAATTTAGATTATTGAAAAAGCATCACTTTCCTTCAGCAGCTGTGGAAGAAAACTCCACAGCTTCTCTGGAATTCCATCCCAGCATCCCACCCATCCCTCTCTCAGGCTGAGCATGGATAATCCATTTTTTCATCCCCTTTCATCCTATCTGTGGGATGGAGAAAACATCTCCCCAGAAAAAGGGTTTGAGACAATTGTTTCTAAAGAGTGAATGGAAGCTGCTATGGAAAACAAAAATATCAATATTTTTATGTATTTTCAAGTTCAGAAAAGCCTTAAAAAAATTTTATATTTACTCAATAGGGAAAAGCATCTGGACTAAGCTTCAAATAGTAGTTGTAGATGACCTGGAGGAAAACCTTAAAAGATTTCAAACAAGTCAGAGACATTTCCAAGGATTTCCACATCCATGGTCAGGCTGGATGGGGCTTGGAGCAGCCTGGGATAGTGGAAGGTGTCCCTGCCCATGGCAGGAGTGGGAATGGGATGAGCTTTAAGGTCCCTTCCAACCCAAACCATTCTGGGATTCCAATGTATGCCCAAACATTTTAAGGTAAGAAAGAACAACTGATAAACAGCTTGAAATCCATTTACGTAATATATTTTATCACCTGCAAAACTCAAAATACATTTAATTTCACTGCCTCAGGTTCCTAAAAGACAGAGAATATTGAACCAAATTGCATTTTTAGACATGCCCTAAAACCCCCTGTAAAACCCTCATTATGCCTTGTACACACACATCCACCATGCATCATTTATGCCAACCTGCAAAAAACCCTTTTACTCTCCTCTCCCAAGGATATTTACACACAGAATTCCCTTCCAAAGTCCTGGAAAATCCCATACCAGTGTCTGCACCATGTGTGGCCTCTGCAGCCTCAAGCTCTTCACAGCCTGGAACACGTCCAGGAGCCCCTCAGCCTTCACCCGTTCCAGGATGTTGCTCAGGGCAATGAAGGTTCCTGTTCTCCCTGCTCCAGCACTACAATGAAAACATAAAAACACTTTTATTTTTTGGGCATGAACTGGGATAAAAATGGGAAAAGAGCATTGGAATCTGATATGCAAGGAATTCTTAGAACTTTGGGCCTGGAAGCCAAAGCTTAAGATTAAACACAGTGTTTAAGCTGAGACCCTGGAAAAGGCTTCCAAACACAGGTGCTAGAAGTGAGAATGTGGATTTATAGTTTAAAGCAGAGACACGTTAAACTAAGTAAAAGAGTTTTAGAGTTTAAGATATAGAAAAAAAAAAAGTAATAACAGAGGTAAACACGTAGAATGAAGTACTGTACATGAACATGATTGGATAAGAAAGCCGACAGTGTAGCGTGGGTCCATAACACAAAATATTTAAGGATTGGGTCAAAAACATAAATATCCTTTATTTTATTGGTCAATAAATCATTCAAAAGGTCTTGTAACTAAGGGTCTTGTGACCTTTTGAACCATGCAGTGAAGATGTGAGCCAAACTCACCTTCCTGCCTGTGCAGAAGATAGGAAAAATAAATGGCATCACCTAAAAAGCTCAGAGGTCCTGCCTCTGACTCATTCAAAATTCCTCCAAAAACCCCCATAAAAGAGGAATGCCAGGGGCAGGGAAGAGCCAGGCTGAGGTGCAGAGGGGCTCACCTGCAGTGCACAGTGATGGGGTGGTTCCCTGTCTGCTGCTGCTGCTTCTGCACAGCTGCAATGAGGTCGATCATGCCCTTCCCCTCGGCAGGAATCCCGATCTCCGGCCACCCGTGGAAGTGGAACTGCCTGACCAGCCTGCTCTGCTTCTCCTGGTTGCTCTGCCAGCAGGAAAACATCCTTCAGCCACTTATTTCTCCCAGGTGCAAACACAATTCCTGCCTGGAACACGGCAGCAGCAATTTTGTGCTGCTACAGGAGAGTATTTGCAACCTGCTCCATACCACAGAAAGGGCCCTGGTGATTTTATTTCCAGTGATATTCCATGATTCTATCCTGGCAGCTCTGTTTCTAAATCCCCCACCCACTGGTAATTTCCCACTACAATTTTCCTTTGATTTGCACAACTGTTTCCTCTGGAAGTGCCCAAGGCCAGGTTGGACAGGGCTTGGAAAAACCTGGGATCATGGGACGTGTCCCTGCCCATGGCAGGGGGTGGAGTGAGACGAGTTTTAAGGTTCCTTCCAACCCAAACCCAAATTTTGTGAAAAATCTTGAATCTAATCTTCTTTGATCCCTATGTGGGAGATGGCAGCAAAATCTAGGAATAATAGCAACAACAAAACAGTTAAAAAAACCCCAAAACCCACCCCCCATATTGCAACCATCTGTTTTACTGATCAGAATTCTCATATTTCATATAAGCTTCCTCTTAACGTCAGCTTTTGATTAACCACATTTAAATTTAGACAGAAACCCCAGAATTTAAGATACATAACCAGATTTGTAAATGCCTTCTGATGGGGGACAAAAACCCCAAAACCGCTGGAATTTTAAAGAATTACCGGATTATATGTGACCAGGAAGTCCCTCACACTGAAGGCATCCATCAGGCTGTCACTCTTGATTTCCACCGTGATCTCTCCGTGAGTCACAGAGCCCTCTGATGGCCAGTACTGGCAGCATTTTTCCTGCAGAATCCAGAGAATTCCAAATATTCCTTGATTTACTTTTCCCACTTATCTACATTGTCATGAATCTCTGGCATAAGAAGTGACATCCAGCATAATAAGTGTCTTCTAAACACTAAGAATACAGTGATAAAATATTTCTCGAATAGAAACCATCATGATGAAAAGGGCTCAGGAGGCCCAGATAGCAAATATTGCTTTAAAAAAGAGTAGAATAATAAATAGAATTCCTGAAAGCACGATAACGTTGTTAAAAACCTTCCAAAACCAACAAGAAAAAGCTTTTCACAACACCCTTGCTGAACCCAGAATTTTCAAGCTGCAGCACAGGACTCTTTAATTAATTAATGACATTAATTCTCATATTTAAATCAAATAAGGAATTAATTATTGTATTTTAATCAAATTAGGGCAGGCTCAGAATGAGCAACAGCAGCTTTTACTGGGACAAATGGGATAAAAGTTTATACAAAAGTTTGTTCCCAAATCCCAAAACTCTGTCTCGTGTCAAGCATCCCTTGATGCAAACTGGAAGCTTTCAAAAATCAAAATATTCTGCAGGTTTTTTGTTTCCTGACAATTCCAGAAAAGCAGCAACACTTCCTCACACCAAAGAGTGAACAAGTGCTCATTTTGGGAAAAGCCAAAAAAAACACCTCAGATTGCTGGAATTTTTAGGCAAAAAATAAAAATAGTTTCTCCAGTATTGATGCTCGTGGTTTGCAGGTGGGAAGGGGAAGTGTGGGGCTGCAGGGTGGGCACGTGTCAGATCAGGCCTTTTCTGACCCAGACCTGGGGCAGCTGAGAGGCCTTTTGAAACCTTTTATTCCATTTTCAGTCTTGTGTGGAGGGTGGGTTTGTACAGACATTATCATTCATGCCACCACAATCAGAAGCTATTTCCTAAGTACAATTCATTATGAGGTTTTCTTGACCTATCAGCTTTTCTGTAAATGCCTTAAAGCCAATCTAAAATTACCCCTCTTGGGTTGTGGAAGAGGTTTTACTGTGACTTCTGAGAACCAGAGAAAGTTTGATCCTTGTGTACCCCTGAAAGAATTTTCTACCAAAGTCATTGAAATAAAAACAAAGAAAGAAAGAAGGATAAATAAGAGAAACTGCAAATGTCTATTCCAATGAGCACTTCGTCTTTCCTGACCACTGACTAGTTTTGTAAGAATGTATAAAAACTCCTGTAAGAATACACAAAACTCCTGATGAGTTTTTTAAGAATGTATAAAAAGCATCCATGCTATAATAAAAACAGGTTTGAAGCCTTCTGAAAATGGAGCGTGCTGCTTTGGATTGTCTCCACCTCAACTATGACAGTGGCTACAATGCATCTTTCACAGTTCTCTATCTCCAAAATATCCAGTCTTATTTGCAAGGCCACCCTTTGAAACTCGTAGCTCCATTTCTCTCTCAACAATGCCATTTCTATTCCACGGCATTTCTAAGCAGCATTTATCTCAAGGTTTGCACACTGTGTGGAGCCTTCTGCCAGGCTTTGAGAGCTCTCTGCAAATCCATTTCCCACCTACCTGCTCCCTCTCCTGGACCTCGGTGAGCATCACGATGGTGTGGCACTTCCACTCCCACACCATCCTCCAGAAATCCTCCACGGTGTGAGGGAGGGGGCCCTGGGTGGCGATGAAATAATCCTTCTGCCGATAGCCCTGCGGGAAGAGAGGGGGTCACCCTGGGGACGGGGACAGGGAGGTGCTCAGGTGCCGGAGCCCACCCTAGATCAGGGTGTGGTGAAAAAATCTCTCCTCCAGCCCTGCTTCCCAAGAAAAGCTCAGCAGTCTCTGTTGTTGGGTCTCAAGGCAGTTTATTGCAAGTTATCTAAAAGATTTTCTTTTCAGGCAGAGGCACACACACACCCTGACATCCTCTCTGACCCCGACTGCTTCTTCTCTCCCACCCAGGGCTGCTGCTGTCTTTTATATGGTACATTACGTGTTACATGGTTACAGTTTTTCCCAATGCCTATTACCTATATTAAATGGTGCTTTTCTATTTTTCTATGGTACATTACGTGTTACATGGTTACAGTTTTTCCCCAATGCCTATTACCTATATTAAATGGTGATTTTCTATCTTTTATATGGTACATTACGTGTTACATATTTACAGTTTTTCCCAATGCCTATTACCTATATTAAATGGTGATTTTCTACTCTAAACCAATCTGTGAGTGCCAACATCACCAAGAACATGGAGGTAAGGAAGAAGAAAGAGGGAGGACAGGGCAGACCCAAATCCCTCCATATCAAAACCTCTGACCCCCATGTACAAAACCAAAACCCCCTGTACAAGACTCAAAAATTCTTCCCTTTACTTTGTGACTACTTCTACAATAATATCTAAACTTTTGTGACTTCTTGTTCTTCCTGCAAGGCTGGTAACTCATTCCATGGCTCAAACCCAAAATCCCAGCTGTTTCCAGCTGCCTGCCAGGGTCTAAAATGCTTCTGACCTGGGCCTGGAACATCCAAAAATGTCTGAGGGACATTTTGAGTTCCAACACTCAGAGGACATCACAGCTGAGATGGGGGCTTCTACTCCAGGGAACAGCCTCAGGCTGCACCAGGGAAGGTGGAAGTTGGGCATTAGGGGAAATTTCCCCACAGAAAGTGTTGGCAGTGCCCCTGGAGGAATTTAAAGCCACATGGAGGTGGCCCTTTGGGGACATGGGGCAGTGGTGGCCCTGGCAGTGCTGGGGGTGGTTGGACTCGATGGTCTGAGGGAGCTTTTCCGACCCCAGCGATTCTGTGGTTCTAAAATCTCCCCCAAATTCACAATGCTCAGGTGAATTTCTCCAGTCATGGATGAGGGGATGAGATTCTGCAGGACCAGATTCCAAAAAGATTATCACAATGTCAGCTTCCAGCTTTCTCTACAATGAACTTCTGCCTCAAGTTTTGAGGTTCAGCTTTATTTCACAGAATCAATGAGGTTGGGAAAGACCTCTGAGACCATCCAGTCCAAGCTGTGCCCCAAGCCCAAGGCTCTGAGGGCCACATCCAGCCTCTCCTTATTTCCATGCAGGTGTGACCTGTATGGAACCCACAACCCTCAGTCACTAACGTGGTTTTACTGCTTAAGGACACGTTTAATTCTCATATTTCAACAAAAACAAGACACAAACCCGGCTCAGCTTCCAACAGGAAGCCGGGAAGAAAGCTTGGAATACATCCAGCTCTGCTCAAGGAAAGCCTGGCTCCCAAACACTGTCACAGCTTTTCCCTGTGCTCAACACTGACTTTTCTGTTTCTCAGAAAAGCAAACATTTACACCTGTTAACCTGACCCAGATAATGGAATCACCGGCTGTAATTGTGCAGCTGATTTGTTTGGTCAGAATTTAATAAAAGATTTGGTTTATAAATCTAACAAGGTTTAAATTGCACAACATTTAAACTGAAATTAAAAACACCAGATACGAAATGCATTTGGAAACTCCCATAAACAAAGCTCATGTTCTTTGCAAGCCAAGCTGATTGTGCCTCTTTAAAAGACCTGTCAGCAGCAGCAGAATCTCTGATTTTAAAAGGAAATGCACGAAAATGTTGTTTACTTACATCTATGAAGGAAGCATTGATGTAATCTGTGTACTCCTGCCCTCTTTTCATGGACAGAATCACTCTGTTAAAATCATCTAAAAAAAAAAAAAGCCTGGGCTTAGTTTTGAGTCCAGTTTAAAAAAAGTCTAGTCTTAATTTTGAGGCCAGCCTTACTTTTGCCATCAGCATATGGAAGAACAAACCCCACCCAATCTTTTCTGTGAAATGTTCATTTTCAGGTGCAAACATTCCAGTGCTGCTCAGATTGTGCATGGAATCACACAGGAAAGGGCAGGTTTAACAGGTGAAACTGCTGAGTTATTTAATCCAAAATCCCCGATTGTAACAGATTTTTCAAGTGATTCAGTAAAACCCAATTCACGGGATGTTTTACAGATGAGTTTGTAAGGGGAGCTGTGTTCTGAGCTGAGCTGGGCTCTGCATGGAATCACACAGAAACAGGGTGGTTTAACAGATGAAACTGCTGAGTTGTTTAATCCAAAATCACTACTTGTAACAGATTTTTAAGATGATCCAGTAAAACCCAATTCACTGAATCTTTTCCAGATGAGTTTGTAAGTGGAGCTGTGTTCCGAGCTGAGCTCTGCATGGAATCACACATAAAAGGGGTGGTTTAACAGGGGAAACTGCTGAATTATTTAATCCAAAATCCCTGACTGTAACAGATTTTTAGGGCGATACAGTAAAACCCAATTCACGGAATTTTTTACAGATGAGTTTGTAAATGGAGCTGTGCTCTGAGCTGAGCTCTGCACGGAATCACACAGATGCAGTGTGTGCTCCTGGCAGGGATTTCTGGCATTTCTCTGGAGATGGAAGCTGGGCTCTTACAGGGGATGATCTGGATGACTCTTGCTTTCTTCATGTTGGCCGGGAGGTTGCCAGTCCTCATGTTCTCCTTCATGATGCGGACGTTGGTCAGCTTCTGCAGAGAGCACACAGGGGCTGAGCACTGCCAGGGCTCTCCACAGTTAAAAAATCACTGCCACCCTCACAGGGAGCCTGCAGCCACTTCTTTCTCCTGGCTATGGAAACTCAGAAGGAATAACAGTCCCAGAATCCCAGAATGGTTTGGGTTGGGAGGGGCTTTAAATCCCATCCAGTGCCACCCCTTGGGACACCTTGACGGTGCCAGGCTGCTCCAACCTGGCCTTGGGCACTGCCAGGGATCCAGGGGCAGCCCCAGCTGCTCTGGGCACCCTGTGCCACAGCCTTACACCCTCCCAACCAAAAATTCCTTCCCAATATCCCATCTAACCTTCCTTCCCTCAATACTGTTAATTCTGGAACTTGTTCTCTATCATCAAACTTATGTTTACATAATTTTCTTTACCCAGTTCCCAAATTCTGTTAAATCAGTCCTTTAAAGCAAGGGGATAGCTCCAGCTAACACCCAGATAAAACTATATAGGAAATAAATATTTTACCATAAGGAAAATCATAAAATAATTCTAACTATTCCCTCAGGGAACTAAAACCATTTAAACAATGATCACACACAGCCAGTGGGGTTTTCTTCATCTGGGGTTTCTCCACTGATAAGAAATGGGTTATTTGGGGTTTTTTTTGAGGTTTTTCTCCAGCCCTGTACATTCCCTGCTGTCAGTCACCTCGGGGTTAACAATCCCACTGGGATGCAGATTAGGAGCTCCTAATCCAGTTTCCTCTTCCAGCACTATCTGATCTGGCAACCTGCACCACACCCAGAGAATCACTCCACTTTTCTTGTATAAACAAACAAAAAGCATTTAGGGAAAGGCCACAGAATGACACAGCTCTGAATGAGGGAACTAGATTAAAATCTGAATTTAGGGAACAGGATGTTCAGCAAGGCCCCATTCACAACAACCACCAAATAAAACAACTTCTTCCCTTTTATGCACCTTTAGGGTTACACTTTTATCCTCTTGGCTTACATCTTGAAAATCCTATGGGAAAGATTTCCACACTTACTTTAAATTCCTCTTCCAGGCCTATTTTGACCAGGTTTGGGGCTGCATTGTGGGAAGTCTGGAGGTGTTTTTCCAGGGATGACACATCCAGCTCCGTGTCACCGTAGAGGTAGTACTCGAGTAAGGCTTGGTAAATGAAGGAATATTGCATCTGGACGGGACAGAGAGGAAGAGGAAGGGAGAGAAATGAGGAATTCTGGGACTTATTTAAAAATCACAGAATGGTTTGGCTTGGAAGGGACCTTAAATCCCACCCGGTGCCACCCCTGCATGGTCAGGGACACTTCCCACTGCCCCAGGTGCTCCAAACCCCAATTTCCAGCCTGGCCTTGGGCACTTCCACTCATACCCTGTGACATTCCACTCTCATGTGCATGGGAAAACCTGGAAATGACTCCTAAAAGTATTTCACAGTGGTCTTCTTCACCTTTATCTTCTGCCCCACCCCTCATCCTTTACTGAGCTTTGTGCATTTTTGAATTAGAGAATCCCAGAATGATTTGGGTTGGAAGGGACCTTAAAACTCATCCACATCCCACCGCTGCCATGGGCAGAGACACCTCCCACTAATCCCAGGTTGTTCCAAGCCCAAATTTTCAACTGTTCTATGTGGCAAGCACATTTTTGTCCCTCAGAGGATTTTTCATAGAGGTGCACAGAGAGAAATGAAAAAGAAAACAATTTCTATTTCTGCTCCTTGTTTTTCCCATGTGGAGTGTGTTTGGAGAATTGTTTCCCTGGGGTGATGCTTGGTTGGGTTCTGGTGAGGATTGTTTGAGCCTGATGGCCAATCCAACCCAACCCAATCCAACCCAATCCAACCCAATCCAACCCACCTGGGGCTGGGCTCTTGAGTTGGGTTAGAGTCAGAGAAAGTAGTATGTAGTTTTAATACCCTCCTTTTATACAGTATATTAATGTATTTTAGCATAGTTATAATAAAGAAATCATTCAGCCTTCTGAAAATTGAGTCAGACATCAGCATTTCTTCCCATTGGGTTTGCCTGCATTTACAATATTCCAACAGCACGGGACACGCTGGGCTGCCCAACAGAGTGGGAATCCAGCAGCATTCCCTTCTCTGCCCAGGAAAAGCTGGAATTTGGGGCGACTGAAGCGCACTCACATCAGTCTGGACCATCTGGGGCCGCTGGTTGCGGATCCTGGAGACGAACTCGAAGACGTCGACCTTCTGCTCGGCGTGCATCATGTCGATGATGGCGTCGATGACGATGAAGGTGCCCGTGCGCCCCACGCCCGCGCTTGGGAGGGAACAAACACACAGAAACACCCCTGGAGCCACCCACATCTGCAGGAACTGCTGCAGCAGCGAGCCTCCTGCTCAGACTGGACTGAAATGCTCGATGGGAAACACTCAATCTCCCGGAATCATGGAATGGTTAAGGCTGGAAAAGCGGCCTCAGATCCTGGAGTGCAGCTGTTCCCCCATGTCCCCAAGTGCCACATCCACAGGGCTTTTAAATCCCCCCAGGGATGGCTTCCACCCCTGAGGCCTGGCCCAATGCCACGTCACTCTTTCAGCAAATAAATTCACAGAATTCCAGAATGACCACGTTGGAAGAGACCTCCAAGATCATTGAATCCAACCCAGCCCCAACTCCTCAACTCAACCCTGGCACCCAGTGCCACATCCAGGCTTTGTTAAACACATCCAGGGATGGGGACTCCACCACCTCCCTGGGCAGCCATTCCAAAACTTTATCATGCTTTCCATAAAAATTTTTCCCTAATATCCAATCTAAACCTCCCCCTTTTTCATTTTAACAAGGACAGCAAAAAAAGAGGGGTGTTTTTAGCATAAAACCCCAGCTCTCCCCAGCTGATGGCATCAGAATTACATTTAAAAACACATTTGAAAAGAAAATCTGCTTGACTCTCTTTAATAATTCAGGTTAAGATAAAATTTCAACTATTCTTTTAGGAGTTTTTAGCTCCGCATTTCCCAACGTTGCCATCCCTAAACACTTCTTGGCTTTTATATCCTTAAAAGCCACGAGAGGGAGCACAACTGTTAGAAATGACAAAATTCCAGCGACTTTCGGCTCTTCCTTCCAGAGGAAAAGGGCATGGCATCCTGTACTAGTCATGAGGAGCTCTCCTTTAACCTCTGGGCAGTTTGCTTGGCTGCAGCGGCCACAAACACCTCCAGGAACAGGATAAAAACGTCTCCTCTCCCCTCATGAGCTCAAAAATACACAGCAATTCTCAGCAAGGCAACATTAGGTTTCCAATAAGACCAGAAAAAAAAAATAAAATTGTGTTTGTAGTACAATTATTTCATTTCCACACTCACTTTTACCAGCAGGGAAACCAAAACTCACGAGCTCCACTATTCCAGAGGTCGGAGGGACGATGGAGATTCCCTTCCATCCATCCATGCTGGCTCTCTGGCACCTCAAGGAATCCCCCTCATCTCCCAGTGCCTCAATTCCCACTCAGAAGAGATTGTTCTCCTCCTGACAGCCCTGGAAGCCACCTCCGAGCACGGACCTGCCCTCCCCAGTTCTCACTGGTCCCTCACTGCTCATTCCTGGAGGTTTCAGCCCAGCTCAGCTTCCTCGCTCCCTTTCCAGCCACGATCCCTCTTTACACATCCCTGTTCCCTCCCACGGCTCCCAGAGCAGCTCTGGATTCCATCCCTGCCAAAGCTGGTGACTTCCCCACCCTGGGCATCCACCTCAGGAGCTCCCTGTCTCCATCCTTGGCCTGCTTCGTGCCCTCCCTTACTCAGCCATTCCTCACAGTCCCTCCCCACCCACTGAAAAAATCCTCCTTCCAAAAAAACCTATTTCTAAAAACTTACAGAACACGAGAACCAGCACAAAATCCTGCCACTCCTCATTTTCACTCCTTGACTCCCAAATGCTCAATCAGTGTTTTATTCACTTTTTTTCACTTCCCAAACCTCACTGGACAGCTTTTGGCCGGGATGGCCGGGGCAGATTTTCCTACAGGCTCCCTAAAAATGGATGGTTACTCACTGCTGATGGGCTTCCCTTTCCTTTTCCCAACAATTAATTCAGTGGTGTCACATCCTGAGCTGGGAGGGAAGCTCAGTGTCACCTCTGTCCCCCTCCATTTCTCACCCTGACACACACAGCAGCCTTGCTCTGCTCGGCTGCCCCTTTAGATTTCAATCTCTGCAGGTACTAATGAAATTATTTTGTATTTTCCTTGCTTTTGGCTTTCCTTCTGCTGGTTAAACCAAGCACAGCATTTCCTGCTGCTGCCAAATAAAGCTCAAGCCCAGAATGAGGCTCCACACACAGCAAAGAGCTGTAAAAATATTCTCAACTGACACAACTCAAATCTACTTTTCCCACCTAAATGGTTTTTTTATTCATGACACCTGGGGGAGAAGGTGAATCCCAGCAGGACAAACACCCTCATTTTCTCTAGCACACATTTCTAGGGAGTATTTCTAGCAAGGAATTTTCAACTTTTTTTGCCTTAAAAACAAGATGCAGACAGCCAAAGATGTTCTTTTCTTTTCATCCTGCTCTTGTGCTCTTTTTACTCTAACTTTGCAATGACAATTGCTCCTGAAAAGCCACTTCCTGCTCGGGGTGAGCTTACAGCTGCTCTAGAAATTGCAATTATTCTCTTCCAACTGTTTGAGAGTTTGGTTTTAGTTTCATTAAAGATTTCAACAGTTTAGCAGCAGGACGTGCCTGTGTGAGTGACCAACGAGTGGGAATTGGTTCTGGATCAGATGAAGCACATTTTTAAAATTGCAGCATTTAAGTTTCTTGAATTCAAGCCTTTCTTCCAAACTTTTCAGGCATTTCATGGCTAATTTCCATAAAAAAACTGCAATTTGACTGTGGGAGAAGTGGGGGATGAATTCCCAAAGCAGCACTGAGTGGCAAAGGCCACAGATTTCTATCACCAGTCTGTTTTTCTGACAAAGAACAGATTTATACCAAACAATGGAGAGCCCTCATAACAAAAACCCTAAACAGCAGCACAACAACTTCTGTTTGAGTATTAAACTGACAGCAAAGACAGAGCTTTGGAAATTGTTTTTACTCTCAGCTCTCAAAAACTCAGCAGATTATTACCCTTGAATAGAAATATGTGAGTAAATATATCTATAAATATAAATACATATATAAAATAAATATAAAATAAACATAAAATCTTAAAAAATATATTAAAATATTTTTTAAAAATCTAAATATATATTAATAACTCCAGGCCAAGCCACAAGAATGGTCTGAGGAGCACATACATACCTACAGTGAACAACAATTGGTCCAGCATGGGCAGGATTCAAGGTTTTGACTTTTTTCAGGAATTTCAGCATGCCAATAGGTGTGAAAGGCACCCCAAAATCCGGCCAGCTGGTGAAGTGGAGCTGTGTGACAAGCCTTGGAGCTTTGCATCCCTCGTGGAGCTGCAGGAACACCCAGACTCTCAGGCTGACATCTCATTTTCCATGCAAAGATTAATAAACAAACTGCCATGGTTTTTATTTATGGATTTATTCCCCGCCACACTCTGGGCCTGACTCGGGGATTTGGAGTTTACAGTGTGTGTAAAACACAAACACTATGTAAAAACACCATTTATTTTCAGTGGAATAATCCCAGGATAGGATTGCAAAGAGTGAGACAAAATCTTCCAAATAGCCAAATTGTGATAATTCACTTGTGGGGGATCTTGGAAGGAATTTGAGATGAGATCTCTGAATTATTTTATTTGATGAGGTTTATTTTTCTTATCTTTTCTTGTCTTCTACACAGGAAGGTGAGTTAGGCTCACATCTTCACTGCATGGCTCAGAAGGTCACAAGACCCTTAATTATAAGATCTTCTAAGGAATTATTGATCAATTAAACACTGCCAAAAAGGATATTTATGGTTTTGACCCAATCCTTAAATATTTAATCTTATGGACCCATGCTACACTGTGAGCTTTCTTAGCAATCGTATTACCACACAAACCACAGTGCTGCATTCTAAACTTTGTTTACCTCTGTAACTAATTTATTTTTTCTATATCTTAAACTCTAAAACTCTAAACTTTCTTTTACTTAGTTTAACATGTCTCTGCTTTAACTTATATATTCACATTCTCACTTCCAGCACCTGGGCTTGGAAGCCTTTTCCAAGCTCTCAGATCAAATCCTGTGTTTAATCCTAAACTTTGACTTAGAATTAAAGTTCTGAGAATCCCTTGCATTTCAGATTCCAACACCAAATATATCAAATTCACTTTTTTTTTTTAATCTGTGCATTTTTTTCCCCCACAGATCCAGTCCCTGCTCCTGTGCTGGGCAGTCCCAAGGCATCCCTGGGCACAGAAATCCAGACCCTCTCTGAGACAGGAATTGCAGCGGATATTCCTGGGCACACACCCCTCTGCACCCACAAATTACTTGCCTGTGAGAAAGCAGCTCTATTTTTTACATAAATAAATTTTAATAAAATAATAAATAATTAAATTATAATTAATAATAAATATTTTAAATAATAAATAATAATTTTAATAAAAAGATAAAAGGGGCAATAAATACTGTTGGGTGGGTAGTTTTAGAGGTACATTAGTTAACTATAATATTTTTTAAAATATATTTTAATGTATTGATTACATACATATTTATAAATATTATATATATTCAAAAATTGTTTAAAATTTGTTTATATGTTTTGGGAATTTTTTAGTCTGGTTTGATTTCTGACTGGTGTAGAAGTGATTAATTGGTTTGGTTTTTTTTGAGGGTTGTGTGTTACTTTTTAACAACAGCTTTTGGTTTTGTGGTTTTAGTAGTTGGTACTTACTGATGATTTTTTTAAAATGTTATTTAAGTATATAGACAGTATCACTTTTTCTACAGGTATGTTTGTTTTTACTGTTAGTTACAAAACAAAAGTATTACCTATTATTTGATATAGTTATTTTTGTAAAAGTTAAATGTATAACACATATTCTAATATTTTGCAAAAGTTAAAACCGTAATATATTTACTACACTGCTCATAAACTAAAATATTGTTCATAAAAGATGTTTCGAGAATCCAAGTTCCAGACCGGACTTTGAGAATCAAAGTTCCAGATTGGACTGCTCATAAACTAAAACACTGTTCATAAATGATGTTTTGAGAATCCAAGGGGCCAGATCACAATTATTATATTAAAAGTAGTTATAAATAGAAATTATTATTTTTAGAAATATTATTATTATTAATAATATGTTTTAAAAATTGTGATTAGCAATTGATAAAAGTTAATTTACAAGAGCGAAAGCCAACAACCACGTATTTATTTAGCCTCAATCACGATGTAATTGTCGGCTAAAATCAGCCCAATTTCTAAAATTCGGATTTCTCAGATAGCCTGGATTTCGTGCACGGGAGGATTTTTGGTTTTGGGATGCTGCCAGGCTCCCCCAGGCCGAGCCTCACCGAGTGCACGCAGAACTTGCGCACGGTGTAATCCACCAGCACCACCGAGTCCTCCACGGACACGCGCACGCCGCCGTACGTCCAGCAGCCCTGCTCGGGCCAGTACTGGAAACACTTCTCCTGCAGGGAAACACGGAATTTCAGAGCCAAGCAACGGGGATTTCAGAGACAAACCCAGCGAATTTCAGAGCCAAGCAATGGGGGTTTCAGAGACAAACCCCGGGAATTTCAGAGACAAACCCCGGGAATTTCAGAGACAAACCCCGGGAATTTCAGAGACAAGCAATGGGGATTTTAGAACTAAACCCAGGGAATTTCGGAGCCAAGCACGGGGGATTTCAGAGCCAAACCCAGGAATATCAGAAACAAGCACAGGGAATCTCAGAGCCAAACCCAGGGAATTTCAGAGCCAAGTATCAGGAATCTCAGAGCCAAGTATCAGGAATTTTATAACTAAACCCAAGGAATTTCAGAGCCAAACCCCAGGAATCTCAGAGCCAAACCCAGGGAATTTCAGAGCCAAACCCAGGGAATCTCAGAAACAAGCACAGGAAATTTCAGAGACAAACCCCGGGAATCTCAGAACAGAATCCACAGAATCTCAGAGCCAAGCACAGGGAATTTTAGAACTAAACCCAAGGAATTTCAGAGCCAAACCCAGGGAATTTCAGAGCCAAACCCAGGGAATATAAAACTCAGGAATTTCAGAGCCAAGCAAAGAGAATTTCAGAACCAAACCCAGGGAATCTCACTGCAAAGCACAGGTAATTTGAGAACAAATCCCAGGGAAATTCAGAACCAAACTCAGGGAATTTTAGAACTAAAACCTAGGAAATTTCAGATCCAAGCAAAGAGAATCTCAGAGCCAAACCCAGGGAATCTCAGAGCCAAACCCAGGGAATTTTATCTCCCTGACTTTGCTTTCACTGCCCAGCACTCCTAGCTGGATCCAGAGAAGGTGAGCACAGCTGTGAGTGTGCAGAGCTCCTTTTCTGGCACAACTTCAGCACCCTGCTACTGCTTCTTAAACTGATGCAGAGAAGGTGAGAACAGCTCTGAATTGTTTTTTAACCAGCTCAGACCCCACAGCTTTTGTTTCAGTTTGGCAGCTTTGTTCAGGGTGTCCAACTGTGGGGGCTGCCAGGTTCTCACTCTGATTTCGAGCCTTAGCTGCAGACAGTGAGAAATTCAAATCAGGAATATCCAAATTTAGCAGTTCTGGCTGCTCCCACTGGGAATTAATTGGTCCTCATGGCCTGGCTGCTGTTGGAGCTTCATCCAGCAGCACTGAAAGTGCAGGAGAATCAAGTCCAGGAGGAAAACAAGGACTGCCCATTTTAAAACCAATGGGGACAGGAAGGAACAGCAGCACCCACACAACACAGCAGCTTTCATTTCCCTTTGTTTGGCTGACAAACTGTGAATTTTGAAACCCAACACTCAAGAAAATGAGCAGAGTTTTTATCTTCACTCCTGATCAATCCCATCCACAAGTGCAGCCTTACACTGGGATTAAACCACAGGAGTTTTCCTTTGGCTCTGGGCTACGCAGGGCACAATTGGCCATCAGAATTTTCTCCTTGAGACCACCTGACATAAATGGGTATTTTAGAAATGAAAACTACATTTTGGAGCAGAAACTCAGCTGTGCTGACAGGGCCAGGGCAGGAAGTGGTGAGAAATGCACCTGGTCAGACCCTGAGCAGCCAGCACTGCTGCTGGAGCACAGGGACATCCCGGAGCAGGGCGACAGCTCCTTACCTCCTTCCTTTCTTTCAGGTTGGTTAGCATGACAATGATGGCTGACTTCTGCTCCCAGATCATCCTCCAGAAGTCATTGACTGTTTCCTGCTTGGGTCCTGCAGACAGAACAACAGTGAATGCTCAGAGAGGGGATGGGGCAGACCCCAGAGCAGTCCCACCCTGCCCTGGGCACCCACCCACAGCTGTGCTTGCTACACCTGCACAGCTTTGCAATACACCACATTTATTTATTTATATTTATTATTTATTTCTGTATTTATTTATATTTATGTGTTAAATAACCCCTCCCATGTTTTCTTTTACATAATATTGCACTCAAATCAACATTTTCAGAAGGAATCTGCTCTCTTGAAATATCACTGATAGAATCACAGAATGGTGTGAGTAGAAAGGACTTTAAAGATCATTTAAATCATTTAACCATTAATTTTCCACCCCTGCCATGGGCAGGGACACCTTCCACTGTCTCAGGCTGCTCCAAGCCCCAATGTCCAACCTGGCCTCAGAAATTTCCAGGGATCCAGGGGCAGCCACAGCTGCTCTGGGCACCTGTGCCAGGGCTGCCCACCCTGCCAGGGAACAATTCCTGCCCAAAATCCCATCTAAATCTACCCATTGTCAACTTAAAGCCATTCCCTGTGTCCTGTCCCTCCATCCCTTGTCCCCAGTCCCTCTCCTGCTCTCCTGAAGCCTCTTTAGGCCCTGAAAGATTCTCTAACACATTAATTCTTAAATATTATTTAATCTTTGAACTTGGCAGGAGCAACATTTGGAATTCCCACTTGGCAGCTCTCCCCCATGCCCAGGTCCAAGGTTCCCTTGGAATGGATCATCAGGAGACACCAACTTCTGGCAAAGAGGGTCAGGAGGGGGAAATGAGCCTCTGCCAGAGCAGAGCCTACAGAGCTGCCCAGAGCCATTTGCTCACCTCACACACACCTCAAATTCATTTCAGCTGGAACCTCCAAACCCAGCCTCACCCTTGACCACCTGCAGCTAAAAATAACCTTTCAAACACATCTACAATTAAATGTGCTCAGCCCTAAGCTACGGAGAAGAGAGAAATGAGAAGGAGTTACCTTGTGCTGCTATAAATTTATTCTTTTCTTTATAGCCCTGTGGAAATAAATGCCACAGCAGTTAAAAGCTGAAAGGCCAAGGTGTGAGAATTACTTCTTGAATGCCCCAAGTTTGGCCAGCTGTGGGCAACTCTCAACTCACATCTATATATGATGCATTAATGTAGTCCGAAGGTGGGACTCCATCAATTTGGGTCAAAATCACTCTGGAATGATCATCTGAAAGAAAAGAAGGACACTGGCCACTTATTAAATCTGAAATATGGTGTTTCCTTGCAAGCAGAAGGGCTGGAAAAGCACAGAGTTCCCAAACCACAGACAACACTTGAACAGCATTTCTGACCAGGGAAGTTGTCACTACTTGAGTATTTTCAGCACATGAGCACTACCAGCAGCCTGCTCAGTGCCAAAATTAATTGTCTGGTTTAAAAGAAAAGTGAATGGCTTACATGGCAGGATGTTGGGATATCTGTTCTTCTCCCTGTTTTCTTCCTTATTTGCCATTTCAAACGTTCCCTGCACATATCCAGATGTTAATGACTGAAAAAAAAAAATATAGAGAGAGTTAATGTGTTAGAAAACAAATAATTTTGACTGCACATGGCTTAGGGTAAATTTGCATCCAGCAGAACTAAATACATTTCAACTTTTTCCCCCCAGTAACTTTAATTCCTTTTTAACAGGCAACTACATCCTGGCAGGTTTGACTGGGGAGAGAGAAGGAATTTTTCCCCTCTGAGATCACAGTTATTTAGCAAATTGTTCAACGTGCCCCTCATTCACTGCCGAGGACATCCCACACCCAGCATCTGGCTCAGCTCTGCAGGGGAAGGCCCAGCCCTGGCTGAAAAGGAGGAAAGGAAAATAAATTTGTGGGGTTTTTATGTGGTGCAAGTTGAGTTCCGAGTGTCAGTGAGAGCTGAGTGCAGGTAAAGTTAGTCTGTCTTAAAAAAAAACCCCAAAACAGTCATGGAGGGTTATAAACCAAAGGAAAAAAAAACCAAAAAAACAAAGAGGGTGAAAATGAAAGCAAGGAGGTGCCCAAGGTGGAGCTGCTCCACAGCTGAGATGCTGCCACTGAGAATGGACCAAAGCAGAACTGCATTTTGAGAAGTTCTTTAAGTGGATTTCATGAAGTTCCTTAAAATGAGCTCCAAACCCCCAGTGCCAGCAGGGCGGCTCCAGCAGTTTGGGAAGTTTGGGAAGGCACCAGCACCTTCTGCCACTCCTGTACCTCCCCTGCCCGGTCTGAGTCACACAGGGAAGGAAAATCGTGGTCAGGGAGGGCAGAGCTGAGAGGGGCAGAGAGCAGGGCTGGAATTCCCCAGGCTGCAAAGGCTGCCAGGGTGCCACAGGAGGAGAGGGGGGCACGGCAGCCTGATCCTCCAGCACACAGCAAATTGTGCTCTCGTGGCTTTGGTTTGTTGGGGCTTTCATGGCACGTGAAGAATGGAAAAGAGAGGAGGTTGAAGGAAAGCTGCTGTCAGACTGCTTAATTCTCACCTGAATGAAGCCCGTGGCTTTCTACCAGCCCATTTTGCTGATCAAAGTACATTCACGAAACACAAAAACGAAATTTTTGTGTAAAAAGAAAGAGAGGAAGGTGTCCCTGCCCACGGCAAGGGGTTGGAACTCCTTCCAGACCAAACCATTCTGCGACCCTATGAAATAATTCTCTTTTTAAACACAATCTCTTCAAACTTCAACTCATGCACCCCATTTTCAATAGCCAGCCAGAGAAGTTCTGGATTTTCCTGCACAAAAGGCATGAAAAGGAATTCCCCTGGGGCAGATCTCCTCCCCATGCCCAGCTCCTGACCTCTGCAGGGCCTTGGCAGCATCCCAGCGAGCTCCGGGTGCCCCAGGGTGGGTGGTGAGCCCCAGCAGAGCCCAGCTCCTCTCCCACCCACAGCAGGATGTGAATCACCCAGCTGCTCCCCAGCACATCCTCCCAGCACCCAAAACCACCAGGAGGTGACGGGTGTCCAGGTCTGCTAACTTGGAATGACCCCAAAATCCTAAAAGTCCTTGTTCCCCCAGCCCAGCTGAAGGAGAGGTCTGGAATGAAGTCAAGTTCTCAAGGTTGTTTACTTTTCCTTATCTATAAAATTCTCTCTCTTACCTGCCGAGGTCTTGGGAATCCAGGGCTTCCCTCTGGCTGCCCTGGCAGGTCTGGGACCCTGGCAGGGGTCAGGAACCCCCCTGGACAGAGCCCCCAGAGACACTGGCTGTGATCTCTGTCCATGGAAACGAGTTTTCAATCTTACAGGATCAATTACCAGCTCTGAGTGTTTGATATAAATAATAATTAAGTGTGGCACGGGTGCAAAAGTAAAATTTTAGGATTCTAGATGAGGGGTCCGAAGGGGACAAGATGGAGGAAATTGGGTGTGCCTTGTCCTTTTTCTCCTTCTTCATGCCCTCCATGTCTCACTGTGGTGTTGGCATTTTTCTGTTGGTTCAGGCTGGGGACACACTGTCCAACGTAGGTGACAGATATTGGCACGTTCTTGTAAATCCAGCCCAGGGAGTTTCTGGTATTTAATGTTTGTCACATCCCACTGAGGGCAGAGCCCCACACGCTGCCCTGCAGGACAGAACTGGGCAGGGCAGCAGAACATGTGAGAGATAAACAGAATAAACAACCTGGAAACCAGCACAGACCAATTACGGCTTCTGCTTTGGCAGTGGGGCAGAAAGACAGAGATTTTCTACAGTCTCAGAGTCATCGATAGCGCAGATTCCACCAGAGGTCCAGCTAGCACAGAAGCCATGGCAGTCTGCCTCGAGCCTTGGGCAGCTCCCACATTATACACTCAAATTTACGTGTACCATATTTACAGATTTGTGCCAATGCCCACCACCTGTGTTAGACTGTGAATCTCTGCCCTAAACCAACAAAAAAGTGTCACCGTCACAGCAAGACATGGAGGGCAAGAGAAGGAGAAGAAGGTCAGGACATGCCCAAATGCTTCCATCTTGTACCTCTGAATTATATCCTAACAGCCCCAAAATTCTACTTTTCCACCCTGTGTTAACTCAACTATCACACTACTCAAACCCTTGTGGTTTGTAATTCCTCATACAGAGTTGGCAGCTTTTTCCACGGGCTAAAATCGAAGCCACAGCTGTTTTTGACTTCGTGCCAAGGTCCCTGAGCCCCTGCCAGGGTCTGGAGGCAGCCAGAGGGATGTGCTGGGCTCTGCCAGACGGGTCCTGCCAGCCCTGCCTCATCTGCTGCCACCACTCTGACCTGTCCCCCCCGGGCAGCAACCCTAAAATCCCACAGAAGCTTTGAGAGGCTCAAGCCAGCCAGGATCAGCACATTTCCTCCTTCTTTAACACTGAACAAGCCACAGGGATGTCTTAATCAAGCCAGAATTCAAATTTCAAAAGAAAACTCTAGGGGAAGGAAGCTTTTCAGTAATTAATCTGAAAATCAAGGCAATAATCCCAAACTTCCAGAGATGATCAACAGAGGTAGAGGCTTTACAGAAGGGAATAATTTTTTTTTTCTTTTTTTCTCCTGTGAAGAAAGAACAAACTCTTCCAGTGCCCAATGCTCACAAAGGAATCACATAAAAAAGGAAGGAGCCTCTGCTATTCTGGTGAGTGTCCAAGGGGTGCAAAGGAACTCTTAAGGGTCATTCAGGCTTTAAGGACAAAATCAAAGGTGGCACATAAATCCAAGAGAACTGTCTTCAAAGTCAGGAACAATCTTCAAAACTTTTTTCTCCCTGCTGGGTGTCTTCATTTTTTAGTGTCTGGTCTTTCTGTTTTGTTTTTTTTTTTGCCAAAAAAAATCACTTGGGACCCAACTTCTCAGGTTGGTGCACGTGCCTGGGCAGTGCTGGCTCCCAGGGGTCACTGGTTTCAGCCCAAATTTGTCCCCAGTTCCCACTGGAGCTCCTGTATCTGCATTCCCAGGGATGCCTGGCCCCTGACACGTGGGATGTGGAGTGGGCAGAGATCCCTGGAGCACCCCCAGGGCAGGGCTGAGGCACAGAACCAGAGAATCATGGAATGGTTTGGGTGGGGAGGATCTTTTAAATCCCACCCAGTGCCACCCTGCCATGGCAGGGACACCTTTCCCTGTCCCAGGTGCTCCAAGCTCAGTGTCCAACCTGGCCTTGGGCACTGCCAGGGATCCAGGGCTGGAGCAGACAGCTCATCCAGCTACACAGGAAAAAAACACACTGAGCATCAACCCATCCAACCCCATCACTGCTTATTTTTCAGGTTTTTGGGTGTGGACAGAATCCCACACACTTACAGCACAGGACAGAAAATTACCCAAGCAAAGAAGGGGTTTAAAAATGAAAACAGATGGTTTGTTTCACTCTGAACCTCAGAGAAAATTCATCAGGAGAGTCAAAATTCACCAGCGCACACCTTGTCAAGCTGGTTCTCACTCTCATTTTCAGCTTTGAAAAGGATTTCCACCATGCACCCTGTCTGAGGAGGCAAAAGTCTGTGGTTTAAATTTATCATCGACCAAACTGCAGCTCTAAATATGCTCCCAATTAAGAAGGTAACTCCACAGCCTGCCTCATCAACACGTGCACTGGCTCTCACAAATCCACGCCTGACATTTAAGTTCCTGCTCTGCTTCTGCTGTGGATGGAAGTGAAAAGAAGTCATAAAAAGATCTGGAAAAGGCCCCAAACTCCTGGTTTTGTGTTTCTCCACAGGAATCCTGCAGGAGCTCAGCAGACTCCAGGTACAGCTCACCCCTGCAACCACAAAGTCCTGCCCAAGGCCACGCTCAGCAGGAAAGCCCCGAGAGCTGAGACACCTCATAGGAACTCACAGAGGGGAGTGCTGGGATGGCACCAAGAGCAAAAAGTGAAATTATCAGGAAAAAAAAGTCACACCCCACCAGGGCAATGCTAAGGCCACACTGTGTCCTCTCCTCTAAATACTTCACATGGAGGTGAAACACCCAGATCCCCCAAAACCCCCCAGCACCATAATTGAAATCAATGCTGAGGAGGTTTATATTCAATGTTCATCTCCTCCAGCTTCAGGCAAACACTAAAGTATTTCTCAAAATGTTAGCAAGAGGCAAATAGTTCATATAATACCAATTCAGCATCACAAATCAGTAAAAACTCCAGGTTTTACCCAGATGAAAGGTCCCCACACACGACAGAACCCATAGGAACAGCACCAATCACACACCCAACACAAGAATTATCAATACTCACAGATATTTTGGATTTTCCCCCCGTTTCCAGCCATCCACGTGTACAAACTTACATTAAACTCCTCCCTGAAGAGCTTCCCCTCGTCGGCCGAGCGTATCCGGATTTCCTCCTCCAGTTTTTCCACGGGGATAGGGAAATACTTCTTGGGGCCCGAGGGAGACCTGCTGAGCAGCATCACCCGCTGCTGCTCTGTCAGCACAAGGCAGGAGGTGTTAAAGGCACGGCCAGAGCCAGAGATCCCAACCACAAATTAATCTTGCTGCTGGAAGAGGCCACAACAAGCTGCTACCATGACACTCTGAGGTGCTAAAGGTGATTTAAAGGAAATTAAAACACCAAATCATAGGCCAAGTGGTTGCTTTGAGGGCATAATGGTATCAAGAACCACCACTACTGGTGAAATGGATGACTTCTCTATTTACACTGGATTTAAAAATGACCAAGTTTTATCCAGAAAAGGAGAAGGTTCTTTCTACTGACAAGGACAGCTTTTGGCACCGAAGAGCTGCTGCCAGATTATTTCATTTAGAGGGAAAATAATGATGATAGTAATACAAAAATAATTTATCTTTAGCTTGGCACCAACAGAAGCTGTGCCCCAAGAGGAGCTGCTGCACAGGAACACCCCAGCAGGAAGCTGATGGGTATTTTTAGGGTTTTGGCTTTTCCTCTGACTGTCACCTTCTTCAGCTCACTCATCATTTCACAATGGCCAAGTGGGGCTGACACAAACCACAGACTGATCATTTTATCTTTATCATTTCTCTCTGGGTTGTGATTAAAACAACTTGCCCAGCCCACCCAGGTCTGAGCTGGGCCCCACAGAGGAGCCAGCCCGGGGCTCCCCACGGGCAAAAACAAACCCAGCACAACCCAAAGCAGTGGGAAACATTTTAAACTCCTCAGAGTGTTTTATTTCAGTGCCTCTGGCTTCAAACTGCCCCATCTCAACCTCCTGCCTCACATTCAGAAACCACCCAGTGTATTCACAATGTGTTAAGGACTTTTTCCCCATTTTAAGAAGAAACAGTGCAGTTCCTTCTCCAAAGATCCCAGTGTCACAAACGTGGATCTCAGCTGGCATTCCTGGTAAAACATCTCCAAAGTTTTACACAGAAGCATCTGCGGCATCACAAAGTGAAACCTGTTGCAAACCAGCAACTGGAAGTTAAGATTTTCTGTAGACTGCTGGAGTATGGATTTCTAAATATGAATCTTTAGTCCAAGGCCAGCTTGGATGGGACAAGCAAGTGCTGGCAGATGTCCCTGCACATGGCACGAGGGCTGGAACTGGATGAATTTAAGGTCCCTTCCAGCTCAAACCACTTGTGATTATATTTTTTCAGACTATTTTCTCTTTAATAACAACCCTGCCACTTAGAAATAAAAGCAAACACTGAGTAATTTTGAATTAAAGACAAACAAAACTGAGAGTTTGAAAGCAAATCTGAAAGCAAATTTTCCCCATACCTTGCTCTTCCAAGATCCCATTTGGCATCTTCTTGTCTCCGGAGTTGACCACAGCTTTCCTGTGTCTCCTGAACCTGGAACAGAGGCAGCACATCAGCCTGGCCACCCTGGCAGGAGGAAAGCAGCATGTCCCCCCAGTTTCCCCCAGTGTTTTACAGACCACGTAATTCTGGAGAAGCTCTTTCTGCTCATGCTGGCAGCAGAGCACGGCCCCGTCTGAGGCTCTGCCTCCCTCCTGTCCCTCTTCCTTCCGTGGGAGGGCACAAAGGATGGGGCTGAGCCCACCAGCACCCACCTGAAAAAATACCCCACCAGCACCACGAAAATGATCACCACCAGCACCAGGATCAGCAGGGAGGTCAGCAGCTCCTTGTGCAAGGTGTTCTCCTCGGTGGAGTCTGGGGATGGAACAAGAAATGTGGAATATCAGACGTGGATCGCCTCATGTGGCACAAAAAACTGTGCTAAAGGCACCAAAAATTCTGTCCAATTATCTGCCTCTGCTTAGTAAAACCTGCACAATACCTGACACAGGCAAAGATCAATTTGAAAGTTTATTTTTTTTTTAATAAATAAAAAAATAAAAGGTTTTAAATTTTTTCTGCCTTGTCCAAAGCACAACCAAACCACTGCTGCTGAGAAAATCAAAGATATTTTTCAATTTCCCTGTAATCAGAGAAAGTTGAACTTATAGCTTAAGGCAGCAAGCTGAATTTGAAGCCCATTAAAAGGTTTGCTGCAGTGCCCTTATGCACATCAGCTGCTTCTCAACCACATTTCACACAGATTTTCATACAGAAAATGCCACCTTTCACAGAGATTTTATTCACTGAAATTCTATATGAATATAAGAACAAGCAGGAATAATGACATTTTTCTCAGAATGGAGATTAAAGAACATCTTTGTTATATCTGGTACAAACTGTGAGTCTCGCCCTTCTGTTCACAGTGTTTTATGGAAGTGCCTCTTTACCTTTCACTTTCATTATGCTCCTGTAACCTTTTAGTTCTACTGAATAATTCAATACAGAACAGATTAAAATCATTAAAAACCCAACATGTTTTATTTAAGGAAGCCAAACTCCCAATCTGAACCTTCAGCAAGCAAAACACAACCCTACAACCACTCTTCCAAAATTAAGGCAATTTCTGTTGCTGCTGGCATTTTGGATTCTTTTTCTCTTTTAAACTACATTTACACACTCGAGGGAGTTTTTTAACCATTCCTACAGTGGTCTTGGAGAGCTGACAGACAGAAGGGTTGGATGGGATGTTGGGAGGGAATTCCTGGGTGTCAGGTGGGGAGGGTGGGATGGAATTCCCAGAGCAGCTGTGGCTGTCCCTGGATCCCTGGCAGTGTCCAAGGCCAGGCTGGACAGATCTTGGAGCAGCCTGGGACAGTGGAAGGTGTCCCTGCCATGGCAGGGGTGGAATGGGATGAATTTCAAGTTCCTTTCCATCCCAAACAATTCTGGGATTCAAAAAAAGTAAAAAAAAAAAAAAAAAAAAAAAAAAAAAAAAAAAAAAAAAAAAAAAAAAAAAAAAAAAAAAAACAAAAAACAACACAAAAAAACCTAGGAGTAGGTAACACCTGCAATAATCCAGAAAGGATTCATGTGGATCAAACAAATACCCACAACTGGAAACTCTCTGGGTGCTCCACAGGGTATGAGGGAATGGGAAACAATTCCTGGAGAGGCACAGGTGAGCTCAGGACACACAGGGGAAAAAGGGCTCATAAATCAACATCATAATGCAAAGAGAGGGAAGGCAATAAAAGGCACCAGGGATGACTTTTCGGTGGTGTATAAAGATAAAAGTGACAGGCTTGACACAACTGCAGTCATCAGGAAATCACTCTGGGAAGGAGTGGCTGCATGAGGATGAATAATCACCCAACACTTGCTGGGAGCTGTTTTGCAACTCCTTCTGGAAGCCAAGGAAACAAACACACAAAAATAAATCTCTGGTTTTGTCCTCCACAGACAAAACGCAGCCACTTCCATGAGTTTAGAAATGCCAGAGTGCTCCAGGATCTGGGGGTTTGTGTTGGTTCTCTTTAGCTCTGTGACAAGACCCATGAGAGGGCAAACAACAAGTTTGCATCACGAGGGAATTAAAATTTCCGTCAGACAATTACACAATAAAAAAAAAACCCAACAAAAATCACCCCTCTCTTCGTTTCACAGAACTGCAGCACCATTTTTGGGGTGTCTGTGGAGAACTGAGTCCCAGGCAAACACTGAAAGCTCAATGCAAGGCAGGAAAAGAGAAGTTGAACCTTCTGCCAAACAAGTGTCCCCATTTCTTCAGTCAAGGACAGAGCACCCCCGCCACAACTGATTTGTCCCAAGATCTCGCCTCTCCTCCTACCATTTCACTAGGAAATTGGGTCAAAATCCACAAAAAGTCCATTTTTCTTTATACCTAGGCACATCTGTTCCCAAATCCTTGCAGCTGCTCCCCCAGTGGCTTCATCCCTGCAGAGCCTGTGAGTAAGGCACAGTGTGGTTTCATTTCTTACCTCTATTTCCTTTAATATCAGTAAATTTATAAATACAGCCCAAAAATTTCAAGAGAAAGTTAAAACTGAGGCCATTGCAGGCTCAGAGGCAGAAACATCTCTGGCCAACACAACTGTCTCCAAACCAGGGGGGATTTCAAGGGGAAAAAAAGCTTGAAATAACTTTTTAATCACTACTGCTTTAAAAATTAATGACTGAAACACTGCAGTAAATGGATGCAGGAGAGACAAATCCTCCAAAGCAGGGAAACTTTCCCACTGCTCCCACTAAGAGTTGTGGCCCAAAACCACCAGGGATTTCTCTTCACAGCCAGCCAAAATCATCCCAGGGGAATTTTTTTAGAGATAGAATGAAAAAGTGACTTTAGTATTCCCCAGAGAGGGGGACTGTCACCAGGAGGATGCTGACAGCCCCTGGTGCTGCACCCACCAAGGATACTCAGGGCTCTCCCTGCCCAAACTCCTGGTGCTGCTGGCCCATGGATCTTTCTGGAAGTGCAGCACCATTTCCTGCAGGGTTGGGATGTTCCCACTTCCCACTCATGTCAAACACGAAGCCATCCCCAAGGAAATAGGGCATTACCAAAAGTGTGTGCACAGCAGGGATGCTCCATCCCCACCCCTCCCAAACTTTGATTTCTCCATCCTTGGATCAGCTCCTTTGCATTTTTGGGTAAATTCCATGATTAAAACAGTTTTTCCTCCTCTACAAAAGCAAGCTGGCAGGACAAACTTTGCCCTAAACCTGAAATTATTCTGGTGAATGAGACAAAACAAAATCTTCTTTATCTGAGGATAGGAGAACTCTCACAAGAACCAACTCTACTTCTGCAAAGATCTTATCTTCTTTTCAAAACCCAGAGATATCACAAACAAATGACCAAGAGAGAACATGACAAAACCACCACTAAAGCCACTCAGGCTAATTTTGGAAGAGAAAACCCCAACCCTGCCATGGCTGCAGAAGAGCAGCAGCTGAT